CAATAAATCTGTTTTACTATTAATATTTATTCCTTGAACACATTTAGAAATTACTACTTTTTCTAAAAGGCGTTTTGCTTCAGCGCGATTAATAATTATTTCGTCAATAGTTCCTTTGGTACATAATTGGTATATCATTACTGGACGTGTCTGTCCTATTCTATGGCAACGTGCCATAGCTTGTATATCTGCTTGAGGATTCTGTAAAAAAGATTTATTTTAATGATTATTTTTAATCAATAAGAATAGTCTTTATAATTATCAATAGGGATAATAATAATGAAAAATAATAAAAAAAAACATTTTGATAAAATTCTTTAAAAATTAGCTTAATAATGATGTATTCTTTTAATTTCAATGAAATATTTTTTTATCAAATCTTTTATTTTTCTTTAATTTTTATAATGAAAAAAAAAAAACAAATATAAAAACCAATATACCCAATCAGAATCATATATGATAACAGTATCTGCTCCAATAAGATTTAATCCAACACCACCTGCTCTTGTAGATATAAGAAATAGAAATATTTCAGGATTTGTATTGAAATTTTGAATGTTTTCTTTTCTGACTGAAAGTTTAGTAGAACCATCTAGTCTGACATATTTAAAATCACGTAATGAAAGATAATCTTCAATAACATCCAATATCATTGTCATAGTAGAAAATAATAAAACTTTATGCCCTTGTTGTTTAAGTCTTGCAAGCATTGCATCTAAGACCAGAAGCTTACCAGATGATGTAACTAATTCTTCATCTATTTTTGGCAAGCCCTCTGGGCCTAATGGACAATGTATTAAATATGGATGATTTACAATTTTTTTATATAAATGAACTGAAATAATGAAAAAAAAAAATGTAAAAATGAAATATTTTTTTATTTATTATGAATGATTGCATAAATAAATAACTTACGATTGCGAGTCTGAACATTAATTAAAAAATCTCGATTCCGTTCTGTAACATCAGTATATTTTTTCCACATTGATAAATTTTTTTTATTTCCAGATCTTATTTCTTTCCAAGATTTTGTATTTTCTTCATCATCATCTTCATCACTTTGCTGAAGTGAATTATTTGATAATATTTTACTTTCAAAGTTAAAGTTCATAATATTATTCATATTTCTTAAAACACATTTTCTTTTAGGTCTGTTACCATCTTCTGTATATATAATTGGTTCTTCTTCAATTTTACTTAATTGATCTATATCATGATTTAATACTGCTTTATATAAACTGTGTTGCAATTCTGTCAAAGGAGCATAAACAACTAATTGTTTTTTTGGTGGTACTTCTAAACAAACATCACTTTTTTCACGTCTTAACATGAATGGTCGTAATATTTCACGTAATGATGATAATACACGTTTTTCTTCTTCTAATTTTAAGAATTTTTTAGCACCTTCATCACCTTGATGTTCTTTTGCATTAAACCATGATTCAAACACAGCTAAGTCATCAAAAATTTCTGGTAATAAAAAATTTAATAATGACCACAATTCTGCTAAATTATTTTGTAATGGTGTACCTGTTAATAAAAGTCTATTCATAGACTTACAAGATTTCAAAATCCTATAAAATCATAATAAATTATCTTATTTGTAATTTGATAATTTATCTTATTTTATTTATGTTTGTAATATACATAAATAATTAAATTTTAATTAACCTACTTAATGAGTTGACATTCATGATTTTTAATTCTATGTCCTTCATCTACTATTATATATCTCCAACTTAAAGATTTAATAAAACTATTCTCATATATTGGTACTTCAAAAGTAGTAAGCACAATTGGTAATATACTATAACTTTCTGTAATTTTATATTTTTGTTTAATTTTTTTCTTTAATATTATTTTTTCTTCTGGTGTTCCATGAAATACTACAATAGGTAATTTTGGTGCAAATCTTTCAAATTCTAATACCCAATTTGGTATAGTTGAAAGAGGAGCTACTAATAAATATGGTCCATCTTGTTTTTTTTCAATAAGATGACATAGTAAAGCTATAACTTGAATTGTTTTTCCAAGACCCATTTCATCAGCCAAGATTCCATTTAAACCATTTTCATAAAGAATTTTTAGCCATCTGAGTCCTTCTTTTTGATAATCTCGTAAATCTCCATTAAAATATTTTGGTATTTCAACAATAATATTATCAACATCTTCTATTCCTTCAGAGTCATTGATTAATTCATTTTCAATCTCTTCTACACTTAAATTCAAATTATTTTTATTTATGTTTATTTTTTCTTGTACCTAAAAAATTATATAAAAATTATAAATTACTAAAAAATTATAAAAAATAATATGAAAAAAAATAAGAAATACTACATTATAATATTTACATTTTTGGATATATATTTTTCTAAATTACGATTCTTTTTCTTTTCTTTTTCTTGATTATCTTGAGATAATTTATTTTCATCTATAGAATTTACTTTTTTTATATCTCTTTTTATGGCTTTATTAGCTTTATTAATATTTTTCTCTAAACTGTTGTCAATTTTATTAACAATATATGAAGCATAAAATTTGCTTCTACTTAATAAATGCATTAATCGTTTATATTGTTGTTCTTGAACTTCAAGATTATATTTCTCTTCTGCTAATTGTCTATTTTTAGCTTTTTCCTGTAATTTTCTCTTCCTTTCACTTATTGTAGCAGTTTCCAAAGGTTCATTGTTAAATTTTACATTGTTCACAATAGTTTTTGAATTGTCTTTTTACATGTAAAGAATAAAATTAATAATAAAAATTATTCATAAAAAACATTCTTAAATACAAAATTGAATATATTTTTAAATCATTGTTTATTATTGTATAGTTGTTTATTATATCATTCAAATTCTTTTTTTTAGAGAAAGAAATATATTTTATAATTATTATATAAAATTAAAAATTTTTAATCATTTCAATATAATTATTTTAAAATAGAAATTATGAATATAAAATATAAATGAATAATAAAAAATATTTAATATTTCATAGAAGATTGAAACATTAAATTTATATTATAAATTTTAACTTCATATTCATTTAATTATTTAAAATTTTTATTATTTAAAATTCATTTTATTAATATAAATTTGATTTTAAAATTTTATTATGAGTGATTAGTTTATTAATATGAAAGTTTTTACCTGTAACCAAAGTCGTACTATTCGAAATATCATTTTTTGTATCACAATTATTATCTTCCATTTGATAAGTAATTAACTATTTAATAAATAATAATGGTATTTGAAATTCTTGAACTTAAAACAGAAATAAATGTGAATATTTCACGTGTAAATACCAAATCCCGCTAAATCATTAACTTGGTCAACTTGGACCAATAACATTCACCATTTTAAATTCACCGTTAATTTTAGAGATATATGAAAAAATCTTATTTACAAAAGTTATTGTATAAAACATAACATAATGGCATTATTTTTTCTTTTTTAATAAATTATGTAATTATTTTAAATAGTGATGGTTATTAAAATAGATTCTAAAAATAGCATAGAAATTAATAACAGATTCTTTTAATGTTTAATTATTAGCAAGAGAAATTATTAAAAGAAGATATATATTTTTTATGTTTATTTTATATTTATTAATTTTAATAACAATTTATTAAATTTAAATTTTTTAATAAAAATTAAATTCTTAACTTAATAAATATCGTTTTTTAAATTTAATTTAATTTAAAAATGTTCAAAAAAAAAAATTAATATAAATATATATATAATATATAATATATATATATATATAATATATAATATATAATATATAT